GTTACTTAATTCTTTCTCCCCAACCCCTTGGAATTGACACCTAATTAATACCCAATTAACCTCCCAAATAATTATATACTGATACATGCAACAATATAAATCAATCTCCCAAACATGATACTGAGTGAAAGAAGCTATATAAAATAGAGTACATACCATATATCTACTGAAAAATGAATCCACACTGATACAAATCACATCAGTGATTGTGTGAGGCAGTGGTTTGGGTGATATTGATTTCAAAGTGATAATAAAGAGCATGCTGGGGTGATGGAAATATCCTATACTTTTTTGTGGTAATTGTTATTTGGGCTATACGGCATATTCTTGGTAAAACTTACTGAAATAATATAGCTTAAAGTATATAATTTAATATTTATACCTTATTAAAGTTATTTATAAAGGTGAGAAAAAATTAAAATTATGTAAACTAATAAGTTTTAGAATGCAAAGGCTAGTTCACAGAAAAAAAAATAGTATTTGGAAACTTTATTGTCTTCTCTTAGTCTTTGCAAGATCAACCACAAGGCAAAAACAATATATATGAATAATATCATTAATCATATCAATTTCATATATATAGATTTATAGGTAGATAGAGATGTAAATATTTTTACCTCCAGGAAGCACTTTCTTCTGTTATTTAAAAAATATTTTTTGAAAAGGATCACATAATAAGTCTTATAAAAAATCTCAGTAATTTTCCCAAGTAAAAAAAATTATTTTAAAAATTTATAGAGATCATTTTATCTAACCTCAGTGTAAAAAATCTGGCACTCAATAACTGATATATAATTTTCAAAGCTATTTTAAAGCTAGAAATGTTATTCTTAACAACTTTTGACTGAAAATGGAAGTCAAAACAAAAATTATAGACTTAAAAATGAAATATTTATATCACATGAAATGTCACATGGTTAAAGATGAACTTAGAGATCAGAATTGGTCTTCTGTAGTTTCATTATTGATTACTTCAACCAATCTTTATTTAAGGGCTAGCATGTTCTAGAAATCTCTTTACACTCCAGGGATATAGATAAAAAAAACCATGCAGCTTCATTCATAGAGTTACATGCTAGTGGAAGTACATAGACCAAAAAAACCACTATAAATATATAGTATTTCAGATAATGATAAGTTCTTTGGAAAATATACAGCTGAATAAGGTGACTAGAGAGTGATCAGAGAAGGGATGCCTTTTTGCATATAGTGGTAGGGGAAGCCTTCCCTGAGAAGGTGATAATTCAGCCATATTCTGAAGGAAGGGAAGGAGTCATGCAGATATTGAGGGAATAGCATGTTAGGCAGAGAAAATAGTAAGTGCAAAGACCCTGAGGAACCTGGGAGTGGAACAAGCAATGGTTACTTGATAAGAAGGGAAATTAGAGAAATTATAGGGGGTCAGATCATGGAGTACCTCGTAGGCTACCATAAGGACTTTGACACTTACTCTGAGGATGGTGGGGAGCCTGTGGAAAGATTTGAGCAGAGGATAGATGCGGTATAAATTGTATTTTTAAAAGATCATTTCAGAATCATCTACATAGCAAAAAGGGTAGAAACAGGGAGATCATTTGGGAGGTTGCTGTAATAGTTCAGGTAAAACATAATGGAGACTTGGATCAGGATGGAATCAGTTAGGTGGGGAAAAATAGTTAAATACAACTGATCAATAAAAAGAAAATATAAGCAATTTAATTCAATAATTCAGCTCAGAAATCTAGAAAGAGACCAGGTCAATCTAGAAAGAGACCAGTTAATGTGTTTAATCTCCCTTTTTAACAATCATGTGGAATAAGGGAATTAAGTGGGCCAGAAAGAAATTAATGAATTAGAAACCAGAAAGACAGTGGAATTGAAAAATAAATATTAAAGGTAGTGCTTTGAAAAGTTCAGTAAAATAGAAATTGTTGGTAATTTGAATGAGGAAAGGAAAAACACAGATACACTACATCCAGAATGAAAAAGAAGATATAATCTCAAATATGAAGATTTTAAATTATAATGAAAATGTACAATTTGCTAATACATGCAAAAATTTTTAATTAAAAAGTTTTACAAAAATATATACAAGTAAAATATATAGAAATAAAAATAGAATAAAATAAAACAATAAATTTGAATAGCCATGGCAGAAATTGAAAACCCTCTAAGAGCTATGTTATAAAAAGAACTCTACGAGAAAGTTTCGCAGGTCAGTTACATCAAGCTTAAAAGCACAGATAGTTTTCACACTATTTACACTGATCTAAAACATAGAAAAAGTTCATAACTTTGCCAACTCATTTGATAGCTCCAATTCTAAATAGAACAAAAGGAGTACAAAATCCTAAATGAATCACAGCAAATTGAATTTAGAAAAATATTTTAGTACACATCCTCTGACAAAAGTAGAATTTATGAAGAAGCAGTATAGTGATCTAAGAGTGCAGACTCTGGAGTCAGCTTAGAAACAGGTTTGTGTCTTGGGATGGATCTGATAGCTGTATGGCTTTAGTGAACTTGTTTAATCTTGTTGTGCCTCAGTTCCCTCTTCCATAAAATAGACCTTTTAAGAGTATCTACCTTATCCAGGTGTTGTAAAGATTGAAAGAGTTAATATCTTCAATTCACTTTCTAAAGTGCCTAGCAGGTGGTAACCACTCAAAAGTATTATCTATTAATATTAGTTGATATTTTTAGAAATATGTTAGTCAATTACTATGTCAAAGGAAAAAAGCCATAAGATAATTCTTTTAAGTAACAAAAGATATTTTGATAAAACTTAATATCTATTTTTGATTTTAAAAAATCTTCCAGTACCTAGTAGGGAGTTTATTCATGTATGTGTGTATACATGTATAATATACATTTTATTGAATATGCAAGAAGTTCTACATAATATAATAAGAATACAAATATGAAATGTGATTTATAAACTGTTGTTTATAGATGATGCAGTTGTCTACCTGGAAAACCCAATGCAAATCGAAATCCAACAAGATTTTTAAAAAATTGATAATTATCCTAACTACCCTCTGGAAAAATAAATGTGTGAGAATTGCCAAGATCACTTTGAAAAAGAGAAATATGAATGCCTTTGCCCTACTGGTTATTAAACTGTCTTACTGGTTTATAAACATACCAAAAGAGGAGAAAAGAAAGATCAGAAGATGATCAACAAATCAATGTGGGATGACTTGGTTTATTTAATAAAAGGTATTGGAACAGGCAGACATAATCTGATCAGTAATAAAATCTCTGACTGCTTTGTAAGGGTAATCACTGTGTAGTTTCTGAAATTCATTATGTTGTCCAGGGGATATTTGCGGAGCCAGTGTGGAATCTTGCATTAGGGAGGTGATACCAGAAGCCATGGCTTATTGAGAATGGTGCATTAATTCTCTAAAAACAATTCTTTCTTAAAATTTTTTATTGAAGTGTAGTCGATTTACAAAGTGTTAACGACTGGTGTACAGCATAATGATTCATTTATATGTATTACATAATATATATATATTCCTTTTCAGATTCTTTTTCATTATAGGCCATTACAAGGTATTGAATATAGTTCTTTGTGCTATACAGTAGGACCTTGTTGTTTATCTATTTTATATGTAGTAGTTAGTATCTACAAATCTCAGACTCCCAATTTATCTCTCCCCACCCCTAGTAACCACAAGTTTGTTTTCTATGTTGGTGAATCTGAACTGTTTTATAAATAAGTTTGTGTCCTTTCTCTTTTTTTAGACTCCACATGTAAGTGATATCATATGGTATTATTTCTTTCTCTTTCTGGACTTGCTTC